TCCTTGACAGGCTCAACATCTAGCACATTATCTGGAAGCTAAAAGAATAAGAATTCCAAATTGTTCCTTGTAAGGATCTTCAGATTGAGCTTTTCACAATTACTGAAAATCTCTGAACACTTTACTACTCTCTGAAATAATCAAACCGTTTCAAGATAGAGTCTCTAAATCTCTAAATAGGAATGCAAGTCAATAGGAAATTATGTCAAACTAGACATTAGGGAAGGGTAGTGACATCTGTGGGGATACATTAGTAGCCATCAGACTCTCTTTCCTCTTTTCTATGATACAGAGACATTACATAGCAAGAAATACATAAAATAATACAATGCCTAAAAAGTACATAAGATATTCTCAATAAAAATACCTATTATTGAAATCATAACAGGACATTATATTTATTAAGCTTCAAAAAGAACTTAATTCTTTACCTTTGAGCAAAAGAGAGCAAAGAGATATGTTGATCTGTGGACTAAAAATGCTAATTCTACTGCTTTCAGAATAGAACTACAGATTTTTATAGTTTTGTAGGAAACTTCAATTTATAAGTTTAAAATATTAAAGGCAACAGAACTTTCAGGAGAAAAAAATGATCACTCTGTGATTGAAACACTTAAATATTCACTACTAGGTAATGGAAAAGTAGATGAAGGAAGGATAGAAAATATAGATCAATTCTAAAAAATGTGAGAGACTGTATTTTAGTTGACCTTAAAAAGTGGCAGACATTAGTCTACTTCTTTTTAATAAGAGAATTGTTTTACTATTGTTTCCTTGTTTATTGTATTAAAGAAAATCAAGAACACAGAATTAGATACATCATAATACTGATTCATAAAGGACTATAATCATTTAACTACAGAGAGATCTCTATTTATTTTATTCTACTTAGGTGATGATGACTTACTTAATAACTCAATGAATACCTCAGAATCTTTGATTGAACTGAAGAACAAAAGCATTAGAAATAATCTACAAGCTCATCTCTACTAAGTGTATCAACTAGAAATACACAGAAGTTAATGATAATCTCTCAACACGTGTCCAGTTTCCTGTTTTGTTAATGAAGGAACAGGGCTCATCCTGTTCTGTTAGAGATGGGACCTTGGTGGCTTTGTAGAAAGTGAAATGAAAGGAACTAGATAAATCTCCCAACCCCCTCAAATAGTTTTATTTATCTGGGGGGAAATATAACCCACTTACTTGACTATTTGCTGGATTTCCTTCTTTTGCTCCTCCAGATGAATGGTCTACCTCTCTTAGCTTTCCCTGGGCATTAGGAGGTGGACCCTTATGGAGTGCACAGATCGTTTGCCTTACTCTTTGGTTGCTGTTTGGGAGCAGCCAATTGAAGCATCAGCAAGACACTGGGAAATAGGAGCAGCATGACCTTAGGGTTCCCTCCCTAAAAGAGGCCTGCATTCTCACAGGCCAACCTATAGTGCCATCTCGCCCTATACCCAAAGGTTTCTGCTCAGGAACCAAGAGGTACATGTGAGAGAGGTCATTCCATTTTATACCACTCAACCCACTGGATGAATTTGTTTCTTTTTTCCCAGGGCCCCGGATCCACAGGCTTGGAAACCTGGTGCCCAAGAAGAAATGCGTCTGTAAGTGACATAGTGATGGTTCTTTGAACTCCAATTTCCATTGGCCAACTTTCCATTGGAAATCATAGCAAAGATTCCCATTACTGTAATCCACAGGGGTTAGGTACCTGAGGCACAAAGAAATGGGGAGAAAAGTGGAACATTGGTCTCAGGAGGAAACAGAAGATTACCCAGAATCCAGTCTTTGTGTCCCTCAGCATCCATGCTTGTTCTTTGCCTGGGGGAGAGATCTGTGACCCCAAAACAGGGGACACATAGAGTCCTACTTGACAGTCGGTCTTTTTCTCAGTCTCCAGATGAATATTTGAGGATGAGTTTCTGGCAAGATTCCATGAACTTGGCAGATTATGTTTTCAGGAAATGGAAATGATGAACAACTTTATTGAAAAAAAAAACTATGGTTATGAGCAATTCTGCTTGAGATGCTCTCACCTGCATCTAGACAAAATAGTTGCAAAGAAATCAAATAACTTACAGTATAATGTTAATAAGAGGACTAAATATTTGTAGTACTTGACACCTGTTCTACACGGGAAAAGTCACACTCAGCCCAAGAAGTTACTCTGAGCTTTTTAGGCATGAACTTTGTCTCTAACCAGCAAATGGAGTCTTGGGAATCAGCAGGGAAAAGTAGATTTTGTTTTGTAAATGAAGCTAAGATTGTTGGAGAAGAGGGGGGAAGAAATAATGGTTAAGAGAGGTTATACACACATTTCTAAATATCAGATTTCACATGTTATATCTAAGTGCTCATTAACAATCAAGAACTTTAATATTAAGTAACATGTGAATTCTTTTTAAAAGTACATTTTAAAATAAAATTCACAAGCCATAGAGGTTTCTATGAGAAAATAAGAGTATGGAAGTGTCATAGTAAAAGGTCTCCTGATCTCAAGGATTAGAAATGACCTCTCCCAGTTGTGACCTTTCTTCTATCAAAGACTGTGTCCCTGAACCCATTTTGGGCTTGGAACATGAAGATGCCCAATACAGAAGAGTCAACATGGATTTTCAGGTGTACCCAGAAATTTTTAGGTTTGTGATTTTTAGAAGATGACTGATTTACAGACATGACATGTTCCACAGTACTAGCATGTGTGATCAGTTGGTAATGGATAATATAACTATGAAAACAATGATTTTTTATATGTTTTTAGTCTTTGCTCAGCATTAATTTCGTAATATAATGCTGCTTCCATTACTCAAAATCATTGTGTCTCACCCACCTCAGGAATTAAAAAAATTACTTGAGCCCAAACATCAGGATAATTCAAGCATCCATCTATACAAAATCCCCTATCCATAACATAATGTGAGCCCCTCTCTAACAGTCAAAATATCAATCTCACTTCAGTAGGCATTAATGGACCTGCCACTGAATCAGTGCTGTACATTCTAAGAAGATTCTTTTAGTGTTTTTGTAAATCAGCCATTTAAACAACCATTTAATTAGCCAACATTTCCTTAGCACAGGAGGGCTGTGTGTGCCCAAGCTGTCTTTGGGGAAGCTCACCTTATGCACAGGGAGAAAGGCAGAGGGAGGAAGTGACTCCAAATATAGACTTGTTTTTCCCTCCACATAGAGTTGCTTGCTACATGCACAAGGCCATTGTCCTCTCAGGATGTAACTCAAAGGCACTATGGAACCATGTTAAAAACTGAGATTTGCATTGACTTGGGATGACCTCTCATGACATTGTTTTCATATTTAGCAAATTTCTCTGTAACCAAATGATAATAGTCAGGTCAGATCTCTACTCTGTAGAGTCAAGTACTGACAGGAAAGGGTTCGGTGTGTAAAGGAAAGGGGGATGACAAATGAGGGAAAAACCCCAGAGTAGAGCAAAGGTAAACTTCTGCTCCTCCACCCCTACCCCTTCCTGACCATGCTGGAGTTCTTAGCCTTGACCAAGGCCTTAAGGAGAGGGTTGGGTTGTTGGTTGGGTTCCTCCTTCACAGCCTTGCCTGTCTTAAAAATAATCTCTCACCAGAAAGACAGCTCAGAGAGATAGATAAGGAGTTAGTGAATCATAGGGGCCAATTTCTTTAAGATCATGTACATTTTCCTTACAACAATCATTTTTGTCAATGTGATTATATTTTACATAAAATTTGAATTTTCAATTGAAAATGCATTTAATTCAGTTTAGACCTCTTCAGAGGGCTTTTTCTTCTTTCCCACATACAATAGCAGGGTTTTCCTCTTTGGAACTAGAGAATCAGTAATGTAGCTCTTCTTTATTTATTTATTTTTTGTCAAGAGGTTGACTAATATTATAGGAAGTAAGTATAGTGATATCTTATTGATACAATTTTTGGATTAATACAGAAGTCAGTCACATAATTGTGGCAGTTACACAACTTCATTTTACAGAGGACAGAAGAGAGGTGCAGGGAATCTGGTCCCAAAATCCCACATGGAGCAACATTCATTCAGAGCAGAAGGTGGAGGTCCCCAGATCTCATCCAGGGCTGATGCACTAACCTGCATGAGGATCATATCCCCCCACAGGAGCTGAGCCCCAGACATGCCAGTGGGGGAGGGTGCTGAGAAGTAGGCCCTCAGCTTCCTGAGATTCTGCTACCTGACTCTCCACTGCAAGTAACTAGCAGGAGGCGGGGCAGCAACATAGAAAACGGAATCAGGAGGTGACTTCAGATCCCAGTTTTCAACCATTTTGTGGCAAAAGTCCAGGGAGTCCTTTACCCTTGAAATGATTGGCACAGTATTTTATTACCACATTCCTCATGGGCATAGTCAGATTCTTCAATCGCCAGTCTGCCACAGCTCTGTTCATTAGAAATAAATATAAATCACTATTGGAAACACAAATATTTTCATCCTGTTGCATTTTAAAAAGCTAAAGAAACAAATAAGATTCTAGGATTACTTTTATTTACTGTGAGATATCTAGAACAGTATTTCAACATCTAATCAGTATAGAAATTACTAAGAAGATATTTCATTTTTTTAGACTCCAGAATAGGACTTGAATGTTACACAAGCAGCCATCTCAGCTTGGAATAGAGGACTAGCTATATTTCTAGTGCTCAGTGCCCACATGTGACCAGTGGCTAGTGGTTACAACATTGAGTGGCACAGATTTTGTTCCAAATCCTTCAAAGACACTGCTCCCTTACAATCTTTAGAAAAGTCCTTCCAGGCTAGACGGCTCCCTGGGTCTGCACCAGCCTGAGCACTAGGGGCTGCTTAGCTTCCAGGATTATATGCAGTGGACCCTCGGAGAAGGTGTCCACCAGAAGACAGGATGCTGAGGGCGGACTCCAGGACAACCCAGAGTCCTAGCGTGAGAGGAAGGTGCCAGCCGTGGAGCACCCTGGGAGATGGAAACCTTTTAGTGCAGGGGCCAGGGCAGCAGGAGTGGCTGTGCTCTTCCCAAGCAGCGCAGTAGTACACGCCTTCGTCGCTCTTCTCCAGCTTCTGCACCAACAGGTTACAGCTGTAACTGTCTTTGCCTTTCTTGGCATTGACTTTGTCTGCTTTCACAGATGTATCCCTCTGCACACTTGAGCTGGACATGTCTAGGTAGAGGAGCCTCTTGGGGGCTGCAAACTTCTTGTGGAAGTACCAGTGGATGTAGTAGACTGAGCTATCCACTGTGCACGGTAGGGTGGCCGAGGTGCCCAAGCGCCCCACGACCACAGGAGTCTGCTCAAGCTTGAGCTCTGCTCCACCACCTGAGAGAGGGAGAGGGGGACAGCAATGAGACAGGGATGACCAGGAACCACAGGGCATCCACCACATCCTGCACCGTGGAGGGAGTTGGGACTTACCAGAAAACAGGAGGGCACACAGGACAGCAAGGGGACCCAGCATGGTTTACCGTCCCACCTGGTGGAAAGAAGACCAAGGGGACTTTGGAGCTGCACTTGCTGGAAGGAGACTGCCTGGGTGGGTGGCAGAGGGCAGGTTAAGTTCTGAGACTCTGCTTCCCCAGGGCACCTGCAGGTACTGGTAAGAGAAGGCTGGATGGAAGGAGGTGCCAAAGGGCAGGGACTGGTCTGACCACAATGGGGGAGGGAACATAATGCTCAGGGTGCTGAGAAACACTGAGCAAAATTAGTGCATGATTGCACCAGTGAGAACAGCAATCCTTGATTGGACATGCACTACATCTGAGCACCACCCTAATTGGTTTCTGCTCATTGTTCAAATCCGGAAAATGACCATGTGGGATGAATGCTACTTCCCTCACTTTAGAAATGGAGAAAGCCTGGTTGATCATTTAAGTAACCTTTCCAAGACTGCATGTCTACAGGGTATTGGGTGAGGATGTTCCCAGGTCTGGCTGGAAACAAAGCTCAAGCCTCAAATGGCCACTTGGTCCTAACAGAGGAAAGTGTGTGCAGCCTGTTCGGGAGGCAGGGATAAGTACAGAGCAGGAATTCCTGCTGAAATCAGGAGATCCCTTGAGCCAGTATTGAAGAAATTCTCCCAGAAGTCTCATCAAACACTTTAAATGCCCTAACACAACGTGATAGCTGTGTAGTCTTGGGCAAGCTGTTTCTCCTCCTTTTCCTCATATGTCAAAAGGGACCTCATTAGGGATGCCTGGAGGCTCACTGGTTGAGCATCTGCCTTAACCTAAGGGAGTGATCCTGGGGTCCTGGGATGGATACCACGTGGGCCCCTGCCGGGAGCCTGCTTCTCCCTCTTCATGTGTCTTGGCCTTTCTCTCTCTGTCTCTCATAAATAAATAAATAAAATCATTTTTATAAAGGGGAGACTTCATTAGGTTACATGCAGAGTAAACAGGAAATGTGAGCAAAGCATGTAGTCTGTCCCAGCTGCAAAGAAAATGCTCAAGAAATTTTTGGGTTTCATCTTAAACTGGACTGGTTCCAGTATATTATTTCGGGGGTCCTCATAGTCTAGAGTTATAGGGAATATTAAAATTATGGAAAATCAGGGATGTTCGTGTGTGAAAGTATGTGTGTATGTATGTGTATGTGTGTGTGTCTGTATGTGGGCAAAGGAAGAAAACTGCATTGAGCCAAGGTGTAGTGCAGGCTTTGGATAGGACCAGATGCTTCAGTTCTAGGGTCAGGTCCTCAGATATGTATGGTAAAGGCAGGGCGTCAGGAAGGGTCAGCTGAGGACTGCATCTGAAATGAAGCTTTGAGAAGTCAAGGTAGCATTGTCTTCCATCTGAAATGAAGGTTCCATTTCTCTTATCCCAAGTATAGGAGGGACCCCTTGGTGTAGTTTTGGTAATCAGTTATGTTAGTGATAACCCACCAGCTGGAAGGAGAAGGTAGTGGGGATGGCCCAGAAGGGACTTGGCTGGGCCAGGGAGGCTTGGGCCCTTCAGTGCTCAGTACCAGACCCAGCTCCTTGAGCTCCTCATCTTGGTAAAAACTGAAAGCAGATATGCTGAGCTATAACCAAGATTGAAGGCTCAAGTGTCTCAAAATGCAGGCTTTGAGGTTTTGCTGAGCGGATCATGTGGTGACTAGAATACTCTGCTAAAAGAATATTCCAGGCTCATCATTCAAACCCTTAGGAGGTATCTAGGGTAGCTGGGCCAAAATGTTAAATGGAACAGAAAGCGACAAGGGGGTTAAATCTGCACAGCAAAACGACATGTGGAAAGAGTCTCAGAAGATGAGCAATGTGGATGATGAGAAATAGGGTGAATTGTTTTCTGGCTGCTTTCTCCCTTTTCTAGAATTTTCCAATTAGATTATCTTACTTTTGTGAAGTAAATCCCTAACCTTTTCTTTTAAAAATAAATTTTATTTCTATTGTCAGCATTCAAAACTCTGTTTCTCTCTATTACTGTTGACATTTGTCTTCAAACATTGCTGACATTAAACACCTGTTGGCCCTGATGTGGCTTAGTGTGTAATTGAAGTTTGCCCCAAACCTCTAGCCAAATACTCCCCTGGGTGTGTCAAACTGAAAAGTGAAACATCCAAAATCTATAAAGAACTTCTTAAACTCAACACCAAAGAAACAAACAATCCAATCATGAAATGGGCAAAAGACATGAAGAGAAATCTCACAGAGGAAGACCTAGACATGGCCAACATGCACATGAGAAAATGCTCCGCATCACTTGCCATCAGGAAAATACAAATCAAAACCACAATGAGATACCACCTCACACCAGTGAGAATGGGGAAAATTAATAAGGCAGGAAACAACAAATGTTGGAGAGGATGTGGAGAAAAGGGAACCCTCTTACACTGTTGGTGGGAATGTGAACTGGTGCAGCCACTCTGGAAAACTGTGTGGAGGTTCCTCAAAGAATTAAAAATAGACCTGCCCTACGACCCAGCAATTGCACTGTTAGGGATTTACCCCGAAGATTCAGATGCAATGAAACGCCGGGGCACCTGCACCCCGATGTTTCTAGCAGCCATGTCCACAATAGCCAAACTGTGGAAGGAGCCTCGGTGCCCATCGAAAGATGAATGGATAAAGAAGATGTGGTTTATGTATACAATGGAATATTCCTCAGCCATTAGAAACAACAAATACCCACCATTTGCTTCAACGTGGATGGAACTGGAGGGTATTATGCTGAGTGAAGTAAGTCAATCGGAGAAGGACAAACAGTGTATGTTCTCACTCATTTGGGGAATATGAATAATAGTGAAGGGGAATATAAGGGAAGGGAGAAGAGATGTGTGGGAGATATCAGAAAGGGAGACAGAACATAAAGACTCCTAACTCTGGGAAATGAACTAGGGGTGGTGGACGGGGAGGAGGGCGGGGGGTTGGGGTGAATGGGTGACGGGCACGGAGGGGGACACTTGACGGGATGAGCACTGGGTGTTATTCTGTATGTTGGTAAATTGAACACCAATAAAAATTAATTTATAGAAAAAAATAAAATAAATAAATAAATAAATAAATAAATAAATAAATAAATAAATAAATAAATAAATAAAAAAGAAAAGTGAAACAATTTAGTCTGTAAGGCGTGGTGTCATTTATCCAAAGAACAATCCATGGATTGGGCAGTTTAGGGCCTCACAAGCAGTGGACAACCTGCTCCAGGTTTCCAGGGCAAATGGGATTTTCATAGAGCCTTAGAAGCAGTCCAGAGGCAGGATGAGCTGGGAGGTCAGGGATTTCCTCACAAGGCTGCAGGTCAGACAGGTGTACGGAGATAGCATTCAGTTTAAATTTACTGGCTGGGGTTGCATATCTGATCTTACTTAGATCAGGGGAATCATCACACATTCCTGGTGTTTGGGCCTGGTTGACTGGGATGTCTCTCTGCTCAAGGGCAGCATTTACAGGACAGGAGAGTTACCTAATTTTTGAGTTCGCTGACTTGGCACCCCAGAGTCTAGAAGGTCCATGCTGGGCCTGGAAGTGCATTTCAACAGGTGACAATTGTTTGCCTGTCCTCTGCTTCTCTTCCTGCTGTGGTGCATCTGTGCCCTACTCTACATGGCTCTAAAAGATCATATTTGTTAAAACATGCACACATTTTAAAAAGTTGTAGGAAAAACCTTTCAGATGGGACACAATAATAGCCTCATTGGTGTTTGGGGGATCTGAGCAAGACACCATTGGTCTTCAGGTGAGAGGAATCAGGTGGCTGTGGAGGGAGCAGTACTTCCTGTCCTCCCAGGTCATCCTGCTGCGGCCATGAATACAACTGCTCTGATGGCCCCAGACCTCAGTCCCAGGGGGAGAGGCAGGTAGGTCAGAGCAGGTGTGGACTCAGGCAGACCCTGTGCAAAGAACCAGGTGATGAAGCTTGGACCTTTTCCTTTAACTTCTGAGAGGCTGGCCTGCTCTCCCCGACCTGGGACAGCTCCCTTCTGACCATGGGAGAGTCTGAGATCTAATGTGACTTCTTCACTTAGTCACATGCAATGAATTGGATGCACATGAGATATCAACCCTTAGTGAACTAGACAAGCCCAGAAAACCATAAACAGGAAAGTCACTTATATAATTTAATGATAGGACTATAGATAAAACAAACATTCTTTTTTTCTTCGATTTACGTGTTTATAATACTTTATGTTGAATACACACTTTTTCTTAAAAAAATATTTCTCATTTGTTAAATTATAATCCCACTTTAAAACTCAGTCATAGGTAATATCCTGGACATTCACACTTTGCTATACAATCACAGAAATTTAGACACTTAAAGATGAAACTATGAGCTGCTGCAGTAAGATTAGAACCCCCACCCCATCCTCTCTACTGTGTGCATCTCTTGTTGAGTGACCGTCAAATTCAGTCACTACATGCATGCACCACATGCCAGGGATGGGGCCAGGCTCTTTTCCCAACACAGGCTACTTGAACATTCCCCCTTTGGACTTTTGAAGTAGCGTGACAAATCTGACCATTTTTAAATGGGCTTTATTAGAAGAAATTAGGATCAGTTGTGTTGGTCTGCACTAGACTCTCCTCAGTAGATATATGGAAATGTAAATGAGTATAAGTGTATGTGTCTGCTCATAGAAAATTAATTTGCTAGATAAAGCCTTTTGGCTCTTTATGAAAAAGGCAGCCTCGTTGGATTGTCTGATTTTATGGGAAAAAAGTACAAAGTGCTATGCAATATTGGTCATAAACTACAAAATTCTTTGTTCTTTATCTGAAATTTGGAGAAATGCAAATAAGATCCAGAACGAGGTATCACCTCACACCTTAGAATGGCTATTTCCAAAATAGTAGAAATATCAAGTGTCATCACAGAAGCTGAGAAGTGAGGAAGGACAGGGACTGGACTCTGGACCCCCTGTGCATGAGGCTGCCCCAGGAGATGCTCTGAGAGCAGACTATCCCAGGCAACCTCACTGTCTTGCAGTCCCAGAAAATCCTTGCTCGCCCAGCAGTCTCATGTTTTCAAACCTAAGAAACTACTAACTGCCATCAAACTAGATTGGAAAGA